TGACCTTTGACCCCAAAATCAATAGGGGTCATCTACTAGTGATGACCAATCACTATTTGAAATATGACGGCTTTGTGATGAACACTTTTCAAGATAATCAGCGGAAACCGTTTTGACATTTAAGGCTCCTGTGACGTTGAACTTTGACCTAGTAGTCCCAAAATCCATAAGTGTCATTTACTAGTAATGACCTATTACTGTGTTAAATATGACGAATTTGTTTTGATTACTTTTCAAGACAATCAGCGGAAACCATTTTGTCATTTAAGTCTCCTGTGACCTAAACCTTTGGCCTAGTGACCCCAAAATCAATAGGGGTCATTTCCTTGTTATGGCAAATCACTATGTGAAATATGAAGACTTTGTGATAAATACTTTTCAAGATAATCAGCGGAAACCATTTTGTCATTTAAAGCCCCTGTGACCTTGAACTTTGACCTAGTGACCCCAAAATCAATAGGAGTCATCTACTAGTTATGACCAATCACTATGTGAAATATGAAGACTTTGTAATACATACTTTTCAAGATAATCAGCGGAAACCATTTTGACATTTACGGTCCCTGTGACCTTGACCTTTGACGTAGTGACCCCAAAATCTATAGGATCATCTACTAGTTATGACCAATCACTATGTGAAATATGAAGACTTTGTGATAAATACTTTTCAAGATAATCAGCGGAAACCATGTGGTCTACCGACGGACAGACCGACAGACCGACCGACAGACAGACAGACAGACAGACAGACCGACAGACCGACATTAGCAAAACAATATACCCCCTCTTCTTCGAAGGGGGGGGGTGGGGCATAATAAAAACTGATGAATCTTTCAGAATTTGATTTTTAAATCACTAAGATGAATATAGCTGAAGTATATAAAAATTTTAAAAAATAGTAAACAAATAATTTTTTGCAGGTAGTACTACTGATTTCACTATATTAGAGCGTCAGTCGGACGGTGGCCTTTTAGAAATCAAAGTGGCAACTGGTATAGCATGTGGTAAAAACATGATGATAGAGGAATTTCATGAACTCCTCCGTAACATAACAGGTGACGCAGTCTATCAGATGTGGATTTATGAAAATGCTGATGATCAAATAGATCTACAAAATGAGATTGAAACAAAAATTAGAACACTAAAAGCTGACAGTACTGGAAAAGAAACATTCAAAGTTCCAGTTTCATTGCCAAGTATATAAAAGGAAATAAATCATGAAAGTACACTGCAAGCTATAGAGAAATCACAATATAAAGGTAGAATTAAATGGTTGTCGGATAAAATAAGAATAGACGCAGACATAGTCAAAAATCTGTTCAAACCTTGTACTGATAGGATAGTAGATCATGTTCAACATTTACTGAAAGAACCTGATGTTCAAGGAACGAGCATATTTCTGATGGTCGGCGAGTCTCCAAAAGTTCAAGAGGCCATAATAAAAGCTTTTCCGACTGTTAACGTCATCATTCCGAAAGAACCAGACATGGCCGTTTTCAAAGGTGCAGTGATTTATGGTCATCAACATTAGGGTATAAGTTAGACTCCCCTGATTAAACACACACTCACACTCTGTTAAGTTATACCAGATCATGTATGTTTTCTCGACTTAATTAATTCCTGATGAAGAAGAACTTTATAAGACTAGTTTTGATATCTTTTGTTCTTATGTATTTTCACAGGGTACAAACTAAAATGTATAACATATAATCTATGTATGTTATGGAATGAACGAAACGTCTGATTTTTTTAAAACATATTTTTACGCCACACAAAAGAAACAAGAGGGCCATGATGGCCCTGAGGTCGCTCACCTGTATATAGCCCCCCCACCCCCGGGCCAATTTTTACCCAAGGGCTTTTATTTGTTTATTTGAACAGACTTGGTAGACACCCATAAGAAGATGTTTCATGCTAAACATCTAAGTTCTAGCTTATTGGCTTTTTTAAAAGAAGATTTTTAAAGTTTTTACTATACACATATAGTTAAAAACAATGACACCCCTGGGACAGGGACAGTTTTGACCCACGGGCGTTTATTTTAACAAACTTTTTAGATATTTATTTAAAGATGTTTCATGCTTAATATCTAAACTCTAGCTATTTGGGTTTTTCCAAAGAAGATTTTTAAGTTTTTGCTATACACATATAAGGAAAATCAATGACCCCCCCCCCCCCCCAGTTTTGACCCTAGGGCTTTTATTTGAACATACTTGGTAGACACCCATTAGAACATGTTTCATGCTAAATATCTTAGCTCTAGTACTTTGAGTTCTTTAAAAGAAGATTTTTTAAGTTTTTACTAGATGCATATAGGGAAAATCAATGACCCCCTGGGGCGGGGCCAATTTTGACCCCAGGGCTTTTATTTGAACAAACTTGGTAGACACTCATTAGAAGATGTTTCATGCTAAATATCTTAGCTCTAGCTCTTTGGGTTCTTTAAAAGAAGATTTTTTAAGTTTTTACTATATGCATATAGGGAAAATCTATGACCCCCTGGGGCGGGGTCAATTTTGACCCCAGGGCTTTTATTTGAACAAACTTGGTAGACATTCACTAGAAGATGTTTCATGCCAAATATCTAAGCTCTAGCTCTTATGGTTCTTTAAAAGAAGATTTTTTAAGTTTTTACTATATGCATATAGGGAAAATCAATGACCCCCTGGGGCGGGGCCAATTTTGACCCCAGGGCTTTAATTTGAACAAACTTGGTAGACACTCACTAGAAGATGTTTCATGCTCAATATCTTAGCTCTAGCTCTTTGGGTTCTTTAAAAGAAGATTTTTAAGTTTTTACTATATGCATATAGGGAAAATCAATGACCCCCTGGGGCGGGGCCAATTTTGATCCCAGGGCTTTTATTTGAACAAACTTGGTAGACATTCACTAGAAGATGTTTCATGCCAAATATCTAAGCTCTAACTCTTACGGTTCTTTAAAAGAAGATTGTTTAAGTTTTTACTATATGCATATTGGGAAAATCTATGACCCCCAGGGGCGGGGCCAATTTTGACCCCAGGGCTTTTATTTGAACAAACTTGGTAGACACCCATTAGAACATGTTTCATGCTAAATATCTTAGCTCTAGCTCTTTGGGTTCTTTAAAAGAAGATTTTTTAAGTTTTTACTATATGCATATAATAAAAATCAATGACCCCCCCGGGCGGGGCCAATTTTGACCCCAGGGCTTTTATTTGAACAAACTTGGTAGACACTCACTAGAAGATGTTTCATGCCAAATATCTAAGCTCTAGCTCTTATGGTTTTTTAAAAGAAGATATTTAAAGTTTTTTCTTTTGGTTGCCATGGCAACCAGAGTTCTGCATGGAATTAAATTCTTTGAACAATTTTTAAAGGTGACCACCAAAGGAACATTCCTATGAAGTTTGGATGAAATTGGCTCAGTGGTTTATGAGGAGATGTCATTTAAAGCAAAAGTTTACGGACGGACGGACGACGGACGGACGGACGCCGGACGAAAAGCGATCACAAAAGCCCACCCTGTCACTTTGTGACAGGTGAGCTAAAAAATAAGACCAAAATTTATTCTAATTGCACATACATTGTATGTTGCACATAAGCTGAACTGCAAAATTACAGCTTCATGATAACGATTTTATTTTACTGTAACAACAAATATTATAACTCTATAAATGAGCTTCTTTGTTGGATATACATTATATAAGACTTCCTAAAACATACAAAATGGTGTATTGTTAACATCAAAAATATTTATGCAAGAAAGAAATAATGTAATTATTTTTGTTGTTTTATTTTCTTTCAAGGTGAAAATGTTCTTTAAATAAAAGGTTTAAAATAACATCTTATTCTTGTTTTAAATCTTGAAATGAAATTTGGTAAATATTGCCAGGACTTTATGTTGTTTTGTGTTTGTTTCTAATGCTGAATTCAAACATTTAAGTCTGATTTCAATGTGTCATGCGCCTAGCCGGCTCTCCGTGATAATTATCTAGTAAATACCAATATATCCAGCGGTGCGAGACAACTAACCAGTAGTGTCCAAAATCAATTGTCAATATTTTATAAAAGATATACATGTATAGTCTATGAGTTCTATAAAAAATTGACACAAAAATGTTTGCTTAAACTTTACACGTTTTTTTTTACTTTGACCTTGAAACTTCTACCTTTATTATTTGAGAATCAAATAAGTGTCATATGCGTCCTCAAATGATATTTGCATAAAAAACTGTTTGATCTAAAGTCTGCCAACAATAATGTCTTATATCGATGCTTTTTAATCTAATCTGGGACATATATCTAATATTAGACTTGAATAAGTAGTAATAATTTGCATCAAAACTAAGATAGGTGTCTCCGTACCCAAAGACATATTTCTTTACCAATCCATTTACAAATTACAAAAAATGTATAGCAAAGAATTTTTGGAAACCTTTGGTACTTATTCACTAAATTAAGTCATACAAATTCAAGGTGTATGATTTAAAATCTGAAAGGCTTGGAATGTTTTATGTAACTTGATCATACATCCGTGCCGATTTTGAGACTCCGCAAAGGGGCTCGCATAATATATTTTTATTCAACGCGTTCAATAAATGCAGTATCTAACTTATCAATATCCTCTATTTATGTCTGAAGGACAGCTAAATACCCTGACGCAGTACAATTATCAACCTTGGACAGACTTTCAACCTGATATTTGTATTTATGTATAAAATAAAACTTATAAAAGGAACTGATTCCAAAAGCGTTTAAACGAAAACTGCATCAACCTTTTTTTAATAAACAAACATCAAACTTTCAAAGTATTCAATAGTGTTATGGTTCTTGTTCTCTCAACAAAAACAGTCTCACGTTAAGCCTCCAATATTTTTGGATTATTTCCAAAGCAAGCAAAACCCAACAGACAGATGGCTGTTTAGTAAACTGTATCCTACTTACAATTTATTATATGATAAAACTTGTTTCAATATTCCTGAAATGGCATTCAATTGAAAGATAATAACAAATTGCATAAAGTTTCAATAAAGCATTTATTTTTAGTTCAGCTATACATCAGCTATTATTCCTTTTCTTATAATAACATGTCTACAGTTTACTAATTTTTTCAGTTCTAAGTACTTACAAATTTTACAATATGTTGAAAGGTAATAATTGATAAACACGCTCTATACCACACGATAATCGTACATTTAAGTCCTGCATGTCATCTTTCCTGTCTGAAAAGTCCCTTATCTGCAAGCTAGCTGCCCAATACATGTACAATGTATTTATATTTTGATATTCATGTCAAAAAAGCCCCTTAACTGCAAGCTAACTGCCTAATACATGTACAATGTATTCATGCTTTGATATTTAATTCACTTAAGGACAGATAAATCGGAATTAATTAAAGACAGAACAGAACATGGCAATAACATATAATCAGAAGTAAATGAAGTTCACGATTTCTTGTCTTTTTCTAATTCTTTAATTTGGGCAGCTTTACCTGCTGCAGCTGCTGCTAGAATTTGTTGACTTGTTGTGATAGATGTTCCTGAGGAACCAAGAATAACATTTGCTGGACACCCAGGGGTAACACCTGTTACAGACGACCCAACTGTTGTAAATATGACATTAGCAGGGCTTCCAGAGTTTGCGCCCGTGACAAATTTACTCAGTGTTTGTCTAAGGGCTGCATCATTTTGCACAGCAATTGTCTGTCCTGTAGGACCAACTGTTTGGATAAGCTGACCTTGTGTTGAGAATCCCTGAACTCCTCCAGCAAGCTTCACAGATCCAGGATTAATTATTCGAGCAAATAAAGGCTTCCCTTGCTGTTGTGTTTTTCCCTGTGGTCTAGTATTCTGAACAATATGACCAGGAGGTAGCACTTGCCCTTGCTGCAGCGCTGGCTGGGAAATTAAGATTGTAGCTTGACCTGCCTTAAGTCCAGCTTGTTGTGAAAGAACTGTTCTAACCATTTGAAGATTAGGACTTTGTGGAGTACCAACAGCACCTGAAACTGGAAAATGAGTGATTCTTTATTCTTCTATCCTTATTTTATCAACTAGAAATCTCAGTAGAGTTACAGTGCTAAGCTATTGTATCTGAACACACTGGTATGCATTATTTCAAATTAAGCATAAACATGGAAATTTGTCACTTTTATACAAAAGATTTGTTACACTGAGACTTTTATACAAGAGATTTAGAGGACTAGCTTGGTCCACTATTTTCAGTGCAGAACAGAAAATTGCAAATATAGAGATAATAGGAATTAATGGTCCCAATGACTTAGATTTTAGATCATTGCATTTCATTGAAGGCGAGTTTTATTATTTCAGGTCCCAGTGGTTTTGACTTTTGACATTTTAACCTGAAATGGGTGTGGCAGGTAGATATCATTAAAGTGCATATAAATAGAAAGTATGAAACTCCTAGATCAATTTTCTTTAAAGACCTGTTTTGTGGGGGTTTTTACATGTCACAGAGAGCCTGACCTTTGACTTGAAAATGTGCTTGGCAGATAGAACACATCAAGGTGCATCTACATATTGAGTTTCAATGTAATAGCTTATGGGAGTATTTAAGTTAAAAAGTGTAAATGAGAACTAACTTTATATCCCTGTATAAATATAATTATATTTCACTGTACATGCATTTGCATTGTATGACATTGTAAAATACTTACACCTACCTACAGTATCTGTTGTGGATTGAGTCTCTACATTTTTCAGACCACCAGACTGCTGTAAAATAAGCTGTGCAGGAACAAGTCCTGCCTGCCCTTGAGTAAGTACTTTACCATGGCATTTAGTGGCTGAAAATTGGAATATAAATAATGTTTACTCAGAAAAGTGATACAAAATAAAATGAAATAAATAGCAATGATCTTTTAATCACTTATATATTTATGTAATGAATTTGTTCTACTTTATATTATGAGCTATCTGTTAATACACTTTGATATTTTGAATAGAAAATGATAACATTAAGTAGCCAATCTACAATAATTTGGTGGAAAATAATGATGGTACATGTCTTTTGATATCCCTCCTAACAATGTCTATCATATAATCAAGTTTTTCACTGACATCATAAAAGACAAGAGCACTGCATGTGGTGTTAAAGGGCAATCATTATCAATAACCAACTTTTATAAAATCATAACTTTAAAAGGGGCACAACTTCTAAAAGTATTGCTTCCAGGGTAATGTCCCTTGTCTCTTATCATGATATTCAAGTATTAAGTTTCATGTTGATAGCTTTAAAAGTTTTGAATTCATCCTACTGATAATAAGAAATTTTGACAAAATTCTAACTTAACCTTTTCCCTTATATAAGCGTGTTTCGACGGCTTTTTGCCCCCCCCCCCTCTTTTTGAGGCCTCAAGCAGTGAAAAAATGGCCTATTTAGGCCCAAACACTGTTTTTGTTTGAGAAATGTTGTTAAAAAAAGTGACCACTTTTTCGGCGCCATCTCCCATCCAAATATTACATCAGGGTGTTGCCAGAAGGGGGATGTGCCCCCTTCTGTTTGGGGGGTTTAAAGGGGGCAGAGTCCCCCTTATCGCCAAGGAAATTTTGGATATGTGACAGGCTAAAAATGGCCTCAGGTCGATCTTAGGGTAACTAGTAACCGATGCTGAAAAGCCTTTTACTCTATCTCAATTCATTGAGAAGTTGGG